GGTGGGGGGGGGGGGGGGGGGGGGGGGGGGGGGGGGGGGGGGGGGGGGGGGGGGGGGGGGGGGGGGGGGGGGGGGGGGGGGGGGGGGGGGGTCGAGCAGCTGCACCTGGCGTTCCACGCATGCGTAGCGGCGCGGTGGCGGCGGTGTTCCACCCTCGTACCCTCTCGCGACGGTGGACGGTGTTTTGGTCGGGGAGATCAGTCGCTCTTGTTACGTTCGCCCGCTACCATGTGCCGAGCGGTGTGTGTTCTGTTCTGTGTCGCCGTGATCGGTGTTTTCGGTGCCGACGAAAGTATCGAGGATGTGGTGCGCGTGTTGCAGAAGCAAATGACGACGCTTTTGACTCGGCGTCAGGAGGATTTAAAGTTGTTGGAGTCGTCGCTCAGGCATAGTTTGGAGAAAAATTTCGAGCTGTCGGATCTTCGTAGTGAAGTGCAAAAATTAAGGTTAGTTTTTCGTCTTTTTTGACTCTTTTTGAGAGGAATCAGGACGCTTAGCAAAGGGCAGGTCGGAGAACCGGGGATCAGCAGAGAAGATACTCGACACCAGGAAAACTGAAAAATGTCGTGGAACCTGGGAAAAAATGATCATGGTATTTTCATGTTTTTTTGCGAAAATTTTAGGATTTGCTTCATTCTTTAAGTGGAGGTGATGTCGGATTGTCGTCTTTTTGTGCGAATTTTTAATCGTCTTCGCACGACACTTTTTGAGAGAAATCAGGGTACCTAGCAACCAAGTAAACCAGCAAGTGTCAAAGAATTTTTCTTTGCAGCGGCAAAACCCCGAAAAAACGTCATGGAATTCGCAAAAAAAGAAATAAAAAAAAAAAAATCGATTATGGAATTTATTTGTAAGGCTTTTACTAACTCAGGTTTTTACTTTCACGTTTGGAAAGATGGTAATTTTGCGAAAATATTATCGGAATTTTTTTCCCTCATAGAATTACCGATAATTAGAGACTGCTATGCAATTTGATCAATTTGTTTGACTTTTTTTTTTTAAAAAAATGCTTGATATACACTCTGGAAATGGTTCTTGACACTACGGGGGTAACTCCCTATTTACATCCTTATTTTAATCGTTACAATTGCAAGGATGCACCGAATCTTCCCGAAATATACGCATTTATTTCTTGCAAAGTGAAGAGCAATGTTCCTGAAAATGTGGTTAGCTATTTCAACCGGGACGAATCTTGACTGGCATATTAATCATGCAATTTAAAAAGTCAATTCTCCACTAATATTCGATTGCTTTTTAATTTTGAAGCATCTGGAGCATCGATTACGAGGCCATTCCATTGATCAATGAACGTAAGGGGGGGGGGGGCAGCAGTGACGAGTGCCACGACCATATAACTACCATGGTAGTTTCAGGAAACGCCGAATGACACCTGCGCGATGAAGTATACCTAACCATCACCAGGGTTTTTTGTCTTTTTTGTTAATTGTTTCGTTTTGCTTCATTTTATGTTGAGTTCGCTTAGTTTTGGTTTTTTTCTTTTTTCTTTCTTCTAGTTTTTGCATTTTTTTCTTATAAAAGATCGTCACCATAACGCGGTATTTTAGTCATTCTCTCTCGATTTATCGTAACGCAATATTACGCAGTTTCAAGCCTTTCCATCCACGAGCGAATAAAAGAGAATTTTTTTGAAAGACGGGACCCATTAATCCCTCAAGGGATCTACTGATATCCATTGGCTACTTGCGATTACTTCTAACTTTCTGCTACTTGCTAACTTTTATGGGACTTCACTAGCTATGCCCATGCTCCAGTCGTAAAAACGTTGCGTATTAAAAACTTTTCGTCTCCTTTAAGTAAACCGAAAATGGCCAAAAATGTCTCAATCCTGGTCTGTTTGATCTATTTCTCCTATCAGACTGAATTTTAAAGTTACGTAAATGTATAAAAAAGGACGAAACAGAGAGAGAAAGTGGGAAAAGAAAGTGAGGAGAAGGAGGGAAGGGCTGAGGAAATTGAAATTCTAACGTGGCTATAAAAATTTCCGATACGTTTCGATCAGTTTCCGGGCTGTGGGTTTCCATTTCCGCCGCGAATCGCGGTCAAATCGAATTCGCCGTTTTCCACCCAAAATTAGATGAGAGGAAAACGTTTTGTGTTGCAGGAGGAACAAATAATATTTATTACCCGTCATAAAATTACCCGCTGGCGGCTCGGCACTACCGACGTCCTGACGTAACAGAAGGAATTGTGAGCTTCGCGGCCATAAATGTTCATTATGCTTGAATTATTCATCAAATGTTCGAGAATAAGAGCTCTTAAGATCAGACCCTCAGGGAAATAAAATGGTGTACCTATACCCTTAAAGGAAACGAAACTTTCCGAAAAGGGTTCTTCCCGCCCTCTTTCAAGTGGCCAAAAGCCTTCCTTATTTCCTCCCTGGAAAAACGAAAAACTCGAACAATGAGCTAACGTGCCAAATAAATTATTATTATTTATTATCTTAACTCCAAAGCCTTCATTTTGCGTCTGAATTGATTATGTTCAGAAGTTAATGCACTTGTGTGCGGAGTATCAGTTTAAGACTCCCTAATTACGTTTTAATTAATTTCTCAGGCGAGAACGGCGAAGTTCAACTTATCGCGAGGCGTGATGAAAAATTGACTTATTATAACTGATCCTCTGGATGAATATGAGATTCAATTTAAAGTTAAAGTATAGCGGGGCTTAATTGATTGTCTTTAATGAAAGCCATCGTGGATTAATTAGTAAATGTTGAATTGAATGACAACGGTCTTAATGTCATCGCACCCTGTCTGATGAGGATTAATTTATGACTTCCCAAGGATCAACCTGTTACTCGACGGAAGTTCAATATTGCTCCCATTCAAGTCTGCTGCTTACAATTTTACAACAAAAATCGTGGAAAATTATCTTAAGGACTGTCCATAACAGAATAGTTATGAAGCACTTAATTAAATAGTCGGCCGGCTGATGAAAGTTAATCGAACTTTTTTATTTTGCATGCAAGATTTTCTGCATTCAACTTCTTGGCCCTAAGTTTATACTTTAATTTATTATATGAGACTTTTTCTGATCGCCTCTCCACAAATTTTGACATTTCCTGCGTCGAGAGAAAATCTTTTAAGGTGTTTTGAGAAAAAAGGGATTGCGACGATTTTCATGGTAGTTTCTCGCTACACGAAGCAAAGTATACTCCTCACTGGAAAAAAAGAAACACACATTGGATCTAGAGTCCAGACTCTTGAATACATTGACAAGAAAAAGGACTCTTGATTCAATCAGATTTAAGCTTAAAACAAAAGGAAATTCGCTGAAATTAAAAGGCTTGGTTCTTGATTTAAGCTTAAATCTGATTGAATCAAGAGTATTTTTTCTTGTCGATGTTTTTAAGAGTCTGGACTCTAGATCCAATGTGTTTTTTTTTCAGTGCTCTTGTTAAAAAACAATTTTATCGGTAGCTTACGCAAGTAGTTGAAGTAACGAAAGTTTTCTGATCACAATGGAACGCTAGGTTTATTTACACAACTTGAAGTGCATAAGTGTAACACAGATGTATTCTTTATCACAGCTAAAATGTGCTTAGCATGATAAGTAACTCAGGAGCCTTCCATAAATGACACTAGGCCGATCCCCAATAGTCGGCCCCTTCCTCCATACCATGTCTCCTCTTCCCCTCCCTCTGTAAAAGAAGTTTGCCTGGTGCTCCTACGTTTTCTTCCTTCAAAATCACCTGACGTCATTCATCGACGGTTCCTTAAATGACGTAATGAGTAATGGGCCTGTTGCAAACTTTTGCTAGAGCAAAACTAAGAGTTGTTTCTTATAGATAATGCCTCAAAAATCACGATGAGCGCATCGGCAAAGTCTGAAATGCACTCATAACTTCACAGTCTGCGTAAGAAATTTGCGGTTTTTTGAGCTTCCCGCTTCAAAAGCGATACTACGGCACAGGTGAACATTTTGTAAGAGGAGTCGTTCCATCGTCGGCAATACTCATCATGGCCGACGCCAATCCGCCAAAACACGTGTGATGGGACGAGATAATACCTGAACTGGATTAGACCAGATAACAATCGGCGTGTTTTAACGTTCATGTTTTCCACGCCCACATTGATTGACCTTGAACTCTCCTCGAATTACGCGCAAAACTGCGCGCAAGTGTCGGCCATGATGAATATCGCCGACGATGGAGCGACTCCTCTAACAAAATGTTCACCTACGCCGTAGTATCGTTTTTGAAGCGGGAAGCTTAAAAAACGCAAATTTCTTACGCAGATTGTGAAGTTATGAGTGCATTTCAGACTTTGCCGATGCGCTCATCGTGATTTTTGAGGCATTATCTACAAGAAACAACTCTTATTTTTGCTCTAGCAAAAGTTTGCAACAGGCCCATTGCCAATCAAAAGGTTTATTTTTCCCATCGAATCCGCATTCTCTCGGTAAAGAGTATAGCGATTAGCTGCATTTAACCCATTGGATTACTTTTGTACGTAATTCTTAATTCTGTACAGAACTACAAAATTTTTCACGTAATTTTGTTACACAATTTCAATAACCCTCTAATTTTTCATTCCTTACAACAACCTCAAGAGGCGCTAATTTAACACGCTTTTCGTGGCGTCCGTGGAAAATTCAGGGGGCGGGGAAAAGGAGGCAACCACAACGTTACAGAGATTTACAGAGGGTTAATGGGTGTGAAAACCCCGTAAATTTCAGCGTAACGTAATTTATGTCTCGTGTCCGCGGCGGGGGTACCTTACCTTTCAAGTCTAGATTTTTATTGACTCGACCAGGAGTTGGCCACTAACAAGTCAGCAAACTGAGGTTTTTCCGCCGTCGGAGGTTATGTGCTTAAAGCCCGCGGGGGGTTGGGGAAGCGGGAGGGGGGTTGCGAGGGAGCTGAAAATCACTCGGAGCCCCCTCCGGCCGCGGCGCGCGGTGAAGCGGGTAAAACGCGTAACACTGCAAAGGGCCTGGGGGGAGTCCCAGCGTTTCAGCGCAGCGTTCGGCTAGCTGAAACGCTGAAAGGCTGTTTTCGTCTCGATTTCCCACGGATCTCGGGAACCGACGCACAGTTGATCGAGCTAGTAGAAGTGGTCGGACATGACATTAATGGCTAAATCTGCAAATACTGATGTTTAACTCGTTACATTTTAAATTTTAAGGGATGCTTCTGGAAGACAATTTTACGAGGAAACCGACGGAACTACTTTCAAACCCTCAAAATTCGGGTTAAACGGAGTTACAAGCTTTGAAAGTATCCGAATTTTGTCCGGTCTCTCTCATCGACTTGATCCTCTGTGCGGCGCGGCGCTTTCAGGCGTCGAAAGTGAGTCTGTGCAAAAGCGTCGCGTCCCGTAGCTTCGACTCGCATCATTTATCGGCGCAGCTTAGTCATAAATCGTCTATCAATCTGCCTCGTTTTTAACATCGCTTTCGACCCAGTTCATTCTCTCCGCCGTCT